TCTGTCAGCCGGGGCGCGTCCGTTGGGGCGGCGGGGATGCTGATTTTGTGTGCTGATTTGAAGGGGGTGGGAGGCACCGGAAGCTCGGGGGGCATACAGGGGTGGGGTTCCCTTTGTGCTCGGGTCCGAGGAGGGCCTTGGCCCGTCCCTGGGCTCGCTGCGTGAGCAAACTGGACCCTTGGTGAGGGTGCCAGCCCTTTGAAAATGAGGGTGCGCGGCCAGCCGAGGCGCCTCCCTGATGGGATGCATGCGACGAGCCTCGTTGCACCTCGGCCGTCGACAGTGATACTTTTCCAACCCCTGCGTTTCGCGTGACCCCCGTAATCAACCGCCGCCCTTAGTAACAAGGACGGCAAGATCACCGTTTTCGAGACCTGGTGGGGTGAGTCGCGCCGATGCGCATGTTTCAACCTTGAAGCATTTTGACAGCGTGCCGCCGACGCGGCGGACCCTCAAACGGACCAAGAGTGCTGCCAGTGCAGGCATGCGCTGGTGGCTATGTACATGACGGGCTGCCACTGCCGCCGGCGCTGCGTCGGCCTCTCGGCTTCTGCTTGGGCATCCCCTGCAACAGGACCATCGGAAGCACGTTGCATTGACCACACAACACACACTGTGCACCACCAACGCGCACGCACTTGGCCTCGACCAAACCGCCGCCCCCAGCGCTGCGCTACCTGCGTCTGGCCTGGGAGCCCCTCAACACAATCATTGCCTTCTGGCTCGCCCTCGCGTTCCACCTCCCCATCTTCTGGTGGTGAGCAGCTTCTCGGCAGCTGCCCTTTTGTGGCGCGAGGGTGCGAGGGGCGATGGGATCCTTTGAACAACTAGGCCGTGGGGCCGCCTTGTTTGAGCTCAGGCTGCGCTGCAAGCTGCAGGCTTGTGTGATTGCGCACGAAGACGCACTCATGTGAACTTTTCATGGGTCTACATCCGCGAATGGCCCGGCGCACGCGCGGCGCGCTGACACCTGTCGCGCGCGACAGGCCGCGGCCTCGGCCCGCTCCATGCGTCTGCTGCGCCCACAGCCTCTCCGGCCTCGAGGCTCTCCCAGCCACACCCGCCTGTTGCTCTATATATGTGATGCCCGGTGCTGAAACGTGCTCAGCAGGCGGAGGCATTGGTCACGTTTCACAACATGAAGGGACAGGCCGTCCCTTCACGTCGTCACTCTGTGATCTTGTGGCTTATGGCGGGTGGGCTGCCGCTGCCCATCGGCCCCTGCTGTGTGTCCGTC